GATGCACTAGGTCATCTTCTCGGGAGCGTACAATCTGAGACCAGAGTCAGGGGGATGATGAAGGTACAATTTCAGTCTCCTCGGAACAGATGCATCTTGTTCACTTGCAGTCAGTCGATCTGAACTTATTATGACCTTGCTTCATTGTGAGTGCAGAAGTTCGTGCAGCATTGTCGCAAGCTGGTAGGGCTGCTTGGGTGTGCTGGAGTTGGGTCAGTTGAAGCTCATCAGCCTGTAGCCACACAGGGTATCATCGGCTCATCGAGCCATGCTCCCTCGTCGTCTAGGTTGGTTGGAGAGGAGGAGGAGGAGGAGGAGGAGGAGGAGGAGGCCATATATGAAGAAGGGGAGGAGGAGGATGAGAGCAACGGGGAGGAGGAGTACGATGAAGATTATGGACCTCCAGCAACTCAAACGTCTCAAGCATCTCAGCTGCCGAAGAAGAGGAATCCGAAGAAGAAGGATTTGCTGAGTCCGGACCCTTTCCAGAGACCGGTTCCTCGACGGCCCAAGAAGAAGACCGAAGAGAATCGTTCAAAGAGTAACGAGGACCGTACCTCCAAGAGGGGAAGGAGCAACTGATTATGCTCTTCGATAGTTGGCTCTTTTAGTTGCGTTGAACTTCGTTTGATTGAACTATTCGGGTGGTTATGAAGCTACGTGGAACTATGTGTTTGCTATTTGTGGATCTATGTGTTTGCTATTTGTGAAACTATGTGGAACTCCGTTTACTAATTAGTTGAAGTTCGTTTGAAATGTTCTATGCACTTCAAATTTGTTAATGTGTATGTGATGCCCAAGTTTAATTGTTTGAGATCTGTGATATTGTTGTCATATTTGTGAAAATTGCTATAATATTATTGTCATATTGAATTTGAAAAGAAGCAAGCAAATGAATTTAAATTCATAAAACACAGGACCCTACCGCCAAGGCCCCTGGCGGTAGGGTCAGACAGCCTACCGCCAGGGCAACTCAATTCTTCGTTACAGAATCGTTACACTGAAAAAACAAGACCCTACCGCCAAGGCCCCTGGCGGTAGGGTCAGACAGCCTACCGCCAGGGCAACTCAATTCTTCGTTACAGAATCGTTACACTGAGACAGGACCCTACCGCCAGGTGCTCTGGCGGTAGGTTTGGACAGCCTACCGCCACGCCTCCTGGCGGTAGGTACTTATCCACGTCAGCGCAGTCAAACGGCCGCCGTCCCCCTCCGTCGCACCCCTACCGCCATGGGCCGTGGCGGTAGGCTATCTAACCCTACCGCCGTAGGCCCTGGCGGTAGCAAAAGGGTCAAATCTCGAAAAAAATTCAAACAGGGGTCAGATCCTGAAATCCTTTCCAAAAAGGGTCAAAACACGAAATTCGGCCCCCATACTCCCAGGGCTCTGTCTGTATATTTCTTTGTTTATGGGGTGTTTTTTGCTTTTTGTGTTGAAACAGTAGTTGGCTCTCGTGCGGTCTGCGTGACTGGGTGAATAGCATCCCAAATTAAACTCCACTCTCGAGTCCGCCGCCGCCGCCGTCGCCGCCGCCGGAGTTCCGTTCGCCGCCTCCCCTCATCGCCGAAGGCCGCCCGCGGTGCTCGCATTTGCCTCAAAGCTGGTATGTATCCGCCTCGCTCTCCACCCGTCCGACGCCTCACCGCTTCTTCTGCAGTACGCGCCCTAACGGCGGCTCACCAACTCCGGCACTCACCGCCGGAGAGCCCCTCCGCCCCCATCTCCATTTATATCCTAAATCTAGATGTGATTTGCTTCCTCTATTCTTGTGCGGCTTTTAGCCAATTTATTATTATTATTCCTAGTATGCAATTTAACTCAATCAACACCAGTTTTGGGATATTTTTCAGGGTTCAGTTAATGCCAGTTCATCCTGTAAAGCTCATGGTCTTTGGCCCAGTTCATAGTGGAACCTGTTAATCATTTTATTTTCCAATCTGAAAGCCAACCTGAACTAGCTTTTGTGAAGTTGTAACTTTGGCCTCTTTCTGGAAATTCATGCCTTAAATAGCCATGCTTTTTCCTGTGAATCATCATTTCTGCGTTGATGTTTGTTGAATGGACAACCGTGTGTGATTGTAACCACCTCTATTTCTACCACCTTGGCAGCAAGACTGAGTGAGGGAGATCACTCAAGTCAATAGTGTGGACAGCCATGGACATGGGGGCAATTTTGAGAAGCGCCACTCGTCTTCTTGAGATGGCCGGGGGCACCCACCCACATCCTGATGCTCTGGGACGCCTCCGACGGGTGCTGGGCGCCACTGCGGCACATTGCATCTCTAACCCCATCTTCACCGATTCTTTCAAACAGATGTTGGACAACTTCGTTGGCAATTTCAGCAATGACACCAGGAAGGTGGACAATCTCACCGCTCGCCTCCAGGCCACGCGCAGCCCTGAAGGCCACCATAAAGGCCTCCGCCACGGTGTCTCCCCCACTGCCCAGCTCGCCGGCCTTCATGGAAATGATCTATTCCGTGCACTTATGGCCCTGCAGCTGCCCGTGACCGCGCCTCCGGAATTCTGCCTTGAGGCCACTCTCGCCGCGCAGAGCCTCATCGTGCACGACCACCTCGACCTTTTCATCCACCTCTGTGAGGAGGCCACCTTCAACGGCGACAGTACGGCGGTCAATGAGTTCAACTTCATGGTCTTCATGGACCACATAAATACCTTGGAGAAGTTCATGCAAGAGCACATTGACCTCGCCGACGCCGCTGCCACTTCACGTGCAACCACTGGCCAAGCGAAGTAAAAGCTTGATCGCCATAGTTAAGCTAGCTAGCTGCAAGTAAGACGAAGATGGGCCAGGAGGGTCATTGATTGATCCTTATCTGGCTTCCGTGTGTACTTTGGTGGATCTCGTTATCGAGCCAAGAACAAAAACCACTACTTATGTATGTATTATGCTACTTGTCAGCGATCGGGTGTCATAAGTACTAGTAATGGTTTTGATCAAACTGCAACCTATGCACTTGGCCTGCTATAATTAAGTTTGTACAATGGAATTTGCTTGGCACCAAGTTCTGTTATTAATAGTCTGTATGTTTCTTTTGTTGTGTTGCATTACCTGCCTTCTATTTTACTTCATGCACCTTGCATTCATATATTTTTCCTCCTTTATTTTCTGATGATGGTACATATGAATGTTAACATGCTGAAATGAACAAATTCACATTGATGAACAATTGTCTTGAGTGTTTGTTTTATAAATGTTTTATCTACCAAGCCTGCTAACCATGGTTTCAGATGAAGCTGAAGATTATGAATAACAAACACATGCCAAATCTGTGCTGTCATAATTGTCCTTGAGGAGAACGTGCATTTAGCACGGTGGTAATGACCTCCTGAGTGGGGCTACCAACCAGGGCTCGAATCCTGGGTTCTCACAAGAAAAAGGCCCCTCGCTGTGTATACTTGTGTTGTGCAAGCCAGCGTGTTCACTGTGTATACTTGCACCGCGAGCTGGCGTCCGGGGCCTTTTCTCGACCTTACAATGCAATGCCTTCAGGATATCACTCCCCTTGGGTTGAGTTTTTAAAAATTGTCCTTGAGTATTTTCAGGCTGCCGACTGCCTTATTCAACGTTGTATGGATTCAGGGGTGTTCTTCACTACCATGTAAATGTTGATAATTTCTATCTTAAGAAGAAACCTTCCTTATACTGCTAAGTGGTACTATTTTCAGCTAGGAATTCAGAGAAGTGAGCGATGGATGTTATAATGCTCTGTTGGTGGTGGATGAGCTGATGAAGTGGTGCTGTTGAGCTTAGCCATTTGCTGAATTTATAGCCGAGAGGAAGGACATTGTGAAGGTGAAGTGTAGTTGTCATCAGAAAAGATGGCAGGGGACAAGGCCATGGGATCATCACATGCAGTGTTTTACTCCCTCCGTTCCCGAATATTTGTCTTTCTAGACATTTCAAATGGACTACCACATACGGATGTTTGTAGACATATCTTAGAGTGTAGATTCACTCATTTGCTTCGTATGTAGTCACTTGTTGAAATTTCTAGAAAGACAAATATTTGGGAACGGAGGGAGTAGTATATATGATTATTTTGGATTAGATTGTGATGGGGCCAAAAGTTTGGAGCATCAATGTGGCAAGCTGGTGAGGGACAATGCCATGATCTGTTCTGTGACTCTGTTATGGATGGATTGGGTTTAGATATCATCAGTGTCAATGATCATGCTGCTATCTGAGGCTCTGATTTGACTCCTGTCTTGCCGAAGTGAAAGAAAGGTCAGTAACTCGTCCATGGCCGTGATCGGTCGCCACTCGCCGCTAAACTTTCAGTTTTAGATTGGTTGTTGTTCAGTCAGATCTCAGATGTTGTACTTCTGCTTGAATCAACTTGTTTGACCAACGCCGTTATTTCTTCAGATCATGGTCTTGTCTGTGCATCAGTCTCCAGTCCAGCATCTCATGTGGTCTCCATTTCATTGTTGCTTCCCCCATTTTCACTTATGTCAGAAAGGGTTAAAGAAAGGTATATTTCGTAACTTTAGTTCTTATATAAGTGTTTGATAACTAGTTCTCATACTGTTACTAAATCTGCAGGTGTTCATTAATTATTCAGCTGAACTTGCTGTTAAATGAAAGTTCTCTTTTGTGTGACTCTAAGCTGCTAACTCATATGCATGCATACCTGAATGTATGGGCGTTTGCTTGTAAAGTCAAAGCTTTATTGCTGCATACACATATGTGAGACTTGGTTAGTTTTTTTCTTTCTAAAATAGCAGCATCCATTAGTTTTAGTAGTTTCAAAGTGTACACATTTACTCGGTTTGTTAACGCACAACTATAATTGTGTTACTGAAGCTTTATCGCTGCATACACACTCCAAGGCAGACAGTTGAACTGAACATTTTGCATATTCCATCACAAAACTTTGTTCCATTTCTAATCTTCTAACTTCCTTATTTACATCTTCCACTGAGCAAACAATAGTGCCTAGAACAAGGATCCTAGCTTGCTGCCATTCTTCAGAAGCTAACAAACACCTACATAATGGTTAAGCCCTATGCATGGCACCACACCATCATCAAAGCAGCACGGTCTTGCATTGGAGCTCAGGAACGCCATCACTACTTCCGTGGAGGCATCTCTCCTGAGCAAACACATGGCGTATTCCATGTCTGCAGTGTCGCAGGGCAGCGTGATGCGACCTTCTTGTCCGCCCGCGAATCCAAACTCCTCCTGAGACATCCTCAGGAGCTCACTGAAGACCACTGTGCTGAGGTACTCCAGTGGCACCTCAAACCGGCTGCCATCCGAGGTGTATACCATGCAGTGCCCCTTCACCGCTACTGAGGTCACCGCGCGGCACTCGGCGGCGGCTCTTTTCGCCGTTGTAGTCTGGGTGATCCTCTTCCTCCCAATAGCCACCATCTTCTGCCACTTCTTTGCCAGTTGGGCAAGCCTCTGGGCACTGACCATGACTACTTCTCCTTGTTTCTTGGCTGAAAGTCCAGAGAAACTTTTGTAGCGGCTAGGTGCTGTGGTGGTGCTTGGCTTGTGGATGAAGTGATGATGAGATGGTGGTGGTAAGCTGATAGATTTATAGGTGAGGAGGAAGAGAAGAGAACAATGCAATGCAGTGCAGGTGCAGCTATCAAGCTATCATGACAAGTTGGCAACGGACAGAGCCAAGAAGTCAGAACATGCAATGCTGCAAGAGTGTATGGGCATGCAATGTGCTTGTGATGTTGATTTGATTTCTCTGAGAGTATCAGCGTAGTCTTTGGTGCTTGGACATTATGAATTGCTCCCATACTGACCTGTTTCAGGGGACATGTGACTGAGGACCATCAAAAACTGGGTCCATTTGTGTCTGATTGCGCAACGAGATACCAATTACTCCCTCCGTTCTAAAATAGACGAGTCATCTATTTTGGTACGGAGGGAGTATTTATTTATCCTGGGTGCTTGATTCTTGATTATATCCTAACGATAAGAATCTTGTAGAGTGCCCCCCCTGAGATGGAGATATCCGGGCTGAGATGCAATTTTCCAATTGTCTGGATGAAGAATTTCTCTCTGAACATTTAGTTGAAAGCTTGTGCTTGCCTAGCTAGCACATGATCTGTTTGATTTTCGGCATCTCACATGGTGACTTCTGCTTCTTGCATTTCTTGTCTCCTGGATATGGGAGTACACGACTAGAATCAAAGTTGTTGTGAAGCGGCCACCTTTTTCTATTTCCTGTGAAAGTGGCACATCACATTTTCAAGCTGAAACAAATGTCTCTGATGTAAAAAAAAAGTCGCGCATCTGATGTGTGTTTTGTTGACTGCTCAATTACAATACATTGTCTTATATTTGAAATGTGATGTTTCCAGTTATATTTGATTTTCTTGGACCGACCATATGGACAAGAAAATAAGAATGATTCAGAAGGGGAATTGGACAAGAAAATAAGGACATATTCATCATTTTTAATTGTCTGGCTTTCTGTAATCCTTTTGGTTTTGAACCTGTTCATATGTATTCAGAGATTCCATTCTCATACTCCAATCTGCTTGGATTAACAATTAATTTGGGATTGAAACTTATGAAGTGATGGTAAAATTAATCTGTTGCAATGCCTGGATTAATCTCTAGGTGATAGGAGGAGGCAGGATGCATGGCTAAATTTAATTTGATCTCTCCAGTTAAAAGACGTAGCATGCATGCACCTAGATTTGCAAATTGATATAGTATGAAAACGTGATCAAGTAAAGTCCACTCCTGCAAAAATGATTCGAATTTTACCACAGGACATCGATCTCATTATGTTCAGACAAATATAAATTCCTTTTCCTCGCATTTTTTCTTTTTTGAAAACAAATCATGTAAAAAAACAATAGTTCAGCTACCAAACATGAGCTACTTGTAATCTTACAGCCAAGTGTCTTGACCAGTGAAGAGATTCTGTCACTTAATAACGATCATGAGCTACTTGTAATCTTGGTGCTAGCTAGGTGTGTGGACCATTGAAGAGATCTTATCTTCTTGTTGCATGAGCAACTCTCACACTAAAGTATCTCGATCTCAGGGTGCATTCCGTTAATACTCCGTATATGATTAATCCAGCACCCAAAATGATTAGTCTGCATGTGGTTTTGCAATCAGAAACAGAAATGGACCCAATTGACACATGGTCTCCACAGTCGTATGCTTCTTATACTATTTGCCACTGAAACATATCAGTATGGCAAACTAATGGCCACAGACAAATCAATCAAGATCACATTGCACTCTTGCAGTTAGCATTGCATGTTCTAAGCTCATGGCCATGTCCCTTGCCAACCTGTCAGGATAGCTGCACCTAAACTGACTTGTTCACTTTTCTTTCTCCCTCACTCCTATATATAAGTCCATCAGATTAGCACCACCACCACCACCACATCAGTTCATTTAGAAACCAAAGCAGCATTACTACACCTAGCCAAGCAAGAAATACAGGGAGGAGAAAAGAAACATGGTTAGTGCCAAGAGGCTTGCTCAGATGGCAAAGAAGTGGCAGAGGATGGCAGCCATCAGGAGGAAGAGGCTCACCCGGACCACGGCAGCAGCGGAAGGAGCAGCCAATGACGAGTGCTGTGCGACTTCACTGTCGGTGGCCATGAAGGGCCACTGTGTGGTGTACACCGCCGACAGTGTGCGGTTCGAGGTGCCGCTGGCGTACCTCGACACCGCGGTCTTCGGCGAGCTCCTGTCGATGTCCCAGGAGGAATTCGGCTTTGCACGCGACGATGACGGGAGGATCATGATGCCCTGCGATGCCGCCGTCATGGAGTACGCCCTGTGCTTGCTTCAGAGAGATGCCTCCGTGGAAACCATGAGGGCGTTCATGAGCTCCGTCGCGAGGCCGTGCAGCAGCTTTGATGGCAGCGCGGTGGCACCATCTGTAGGGCTTGGCCACCAAGTAGGCGTCTGTTAGCTTAGCTTCTGAAGAATGGCATGCAGCAGTAGATTTAGCCCTGTTCTGTTCATTGCATGATGTGAATATACAGTAGCAAGTGGTAGACTGGGCAAGGAAATTGATGAAATTACCTTGCTTTTTGCGACATGGTGGACTTTTGTAAGTTGTAACTCGAATACTAGAAAATATCTTGTTGGCAGAGGTACCAAATCTGTATCATTTCTTCTGTTTTTGATTTGGGAATGCAAGCTGAATCGTCATCGTAAGCATAGCAGTTTGGTACGCTTATGTAGCACTACCAGTCCAGCTTGCAGCTGCCACCATGTTTGATGTAGCCACCTTTAAAAGCTACACTAGTTTGTGGAAAAGGTCATATCCTGTGGTTATATGAATCACGACGATACAAATACGAGTCCAACAGCATACCAAGATGGTCGACTGCTGCCTCGTTGATCCGATCATAGCTGCATAGTGGGACTCGTATGGACAATCATTTGAAGACGCGAAGAAGAGTCTGATGAAAGCCTCATCTTCTTGAGACTAGAATCCAGTCCGTCATCCAAACTTGGTTGGACTACACATATCTTCCTCTTCTCCCTCACGGCTGAAGCCTCTTCATTCCCCGGTCCCTCGCTTTCCACTCGAACATCACTTTTGTGCAACATGAATCTTGGCCTATTCGGGTGGTTCTTTGTTGCTTGCTCCCAGTCTTGTCTTGTTTCGCCAGGCACTCCCGAGTCAATGGTGACCTCCTTGAGATGTTTGAGGTGTCTGATTTGGATGCCCGAAAGACCAACTAGACCTGGGCAAAGCAGCTGGAGTGAGACAAGGTACGGCAGAGCACCTTGTTTGATTGCTGGCAGAGCTGAAGTGAGACTTTGCACCACAAAGCACAGACGCCGCAGGCTTGGGAATGCCCCTGATCTCAGTTCAAAATTCTCAAGCTCATTAGTGATCAACTTGAGGTAAAGCAAGTTGCTCAAACTGAGCAGAGCAGATAGAAGATCCCTTGTCAAAATAGCTGATGAAATAGACAGTTCAGTCAGACCTGACAGCAAGGGAACAAATGGGGGTAACTGGAGTAGCTTGCCACGTAGCTTGAGCGACCTTACATCATATTTGGAATCTTCAGGGCATGGCTTGAAATCAAGCGAACTCAGCAAGTCTTCGGAGCATTCTTCTGAATCAAGTGACAGAGAACGGGCGTCCATACTGTCCATGGGGACTTTGGTGAATTCCTGAATGGCCTCCGAAAGATCTGTGGTGTAGTTACTTCCATTGGCAACTGGGCCACACCATATCTTAACCTTTCTCAGATTTCTCATGTGAACCATAAGTTCAAGAAACCCTTGCCTCTCGTTCGCGACAAAACCAGCTAAAGTCTTCAGGTTACTCTTGTTTCCAGATAAGAACTTCATCACTTTGGTCATCTTCTTTGCATTGTTCAGATCGTCTCTGTCAACCGTTAACTTTCCAAACAGATGGGCTAAGTGGTACAGCATGATAGCCTCAATGGGCAATGTCTTTATCTTGGTTCTCCTTAAATCCAGGGTCTCTAAGCAATGTAGTCCATCGATGCTGCTCGGAAGCTTCCCAATAGTGCCCCCAACACTTAGATATGTCAGATGCCACAGTTTGCCTATGTGTTTGAGGTGACTGTCTTCCAGATCACTGCATTCTTCCAGATCCAAGACTCGCAGCAGTTTGCACTTACGGACATGAGAAATAGCATCACCTGCTTTCCCAAAGACTGTCAAAGACCGAACACGAGATATATCCACGTCAGATGCCTCACTATCTGTCAGATTGCCACCGTGGATAGAAAGGTGGTAAACATTATTAACATAGGCACTTGGTCTTGGATGATCACGAGACGATGTCGCGATGAACCCCTGTGACATGGACTTGTGTAGCGCAAACTCATGCATAATGCCATGAGTCCTGCACGTCTTCACTTGTGTATTGTCTCTTGTATCAATAGACTGGATGATGTTCCGGTCAATAAGCTCCTCGAAAGTCTTATCTGCAATGTCCTCTTCGCTGCAAAGGGAATCACTCCGTGCGTATCCTTCAGCTAACCACCGCCTGATGACAACTTTCTTCTTGAGTGGACGATTGATAGGAAACACACCGAGGTATAGCAAGCAGGTCATATCATACACAGACAAACTGTCATAGTTATGCATCAGCACCTTTCTCAGCTCCGTGAAGTTGTCATAGTCATCCTTCTCTCTCAGATGAGAACCCAGGTTGCGGCATAGTTTTGCACAGCGCTCCCCTGTAGGCTCAGCTGAACATTTCAGGAAATCAGAGACACTGACAAGAGCAAGTGGAAGACCGCCGCATTTCTTCAGCAGCGCCGTCGAGCCCTGCTCCAGCTCAGGTGATCGTACCCCCTGAAGAGCTATTTCCTTGGAGTCCTCTTCACCAAGTGTGTTCAGTTGGTACACATAACCATTGTCATCGCTGCATCTTTTAGCTGTTGACTGAATAGCTGTGGTCAGTAGGATTCTGCTGCTTTTGCCGTTGTCTTCGAAAATGAACTTTAGCTGCATCCATTGCTCCATCACGATGCCGTGTATGACAATTAAGTACCTAGCAATCAAATTGGGAGATGAAATGCTATGGACAAGATCCACAAAAGAAAGTTCAGAAGAAATTTCACTAGCAATAAGAAGGACAAGGCGATTCTGATTTCACAACAAAGAACTCTGGGATCCAGAAGAAAAATCTGTTTTTTTTTACCTCTTATCCTTGAGGTATTCACTGAGCAAGGCTTCCATACGTTGGCCATCATCAGCAACAACATCCATGGAGTCTTTGGGACGAACTTGCCAGAGTAGATCGCGCAGGATCTCCCTGACCCCGCCGCCGTTGTTCTCCGGCGACCACCGACCGGCGGAAACCCAAGCACGGCAGTGGAATTTCTCCACGGCGTCAGGGGCCTCGTACACCGCCCTCGCGAGAGTGGTCTTCCCCAGGCCGCCGAACCCCACCACGGAGATCACCCTCAGCTGCTCCGGCTCGCCCTCCACCTCGTCCAGCAGCGAGAGGAGCTCCTCCACCGGCCTCCCGAGGCCCACCGGGTTGCGCGCCACGCGATACAATGGCGCCGCCGTGGCGAAATCGTGGCAGACGGTGGCGGCAGCGGCGGCCATGGGGATACCGACGACGCGCTCGTGCGCCTGCTTGAGGCGGGCCTTGAGCTTCCGGATCTCGTCGGCGAAGCCTGAGCGGCTCTGCACCTTCTTGATCTCGTGGGCGACCCGGCGGACCAGCGCCACTCCACCGCCGCCGCGGGGCCTGCAGGTGAGGCGTTTCAGGATGCGGTCGATGCAGTCCTGGGCGTCGTGCACCAGGCCAAGCATCTCCTCCCGGTACAGTCTGGCGACGGCCGTGCGGCGCTCGCCACGGCCCAGGGCGTGGAGGCTGTCGTCCATGGCGGCGGCGATCATGCGGACGTCCTGCTGGATGGAGAGGGTCTCCTGCCGGAGGCCCTTCTGCTTGTTGTACTCCTTCTCCAGCACCTGGAAGAGCTTCCCCATCACGGTCCTCAGGAAGGCGCTCGCCGCCGCAGACTCCATGCCTCTGCTTCCAAAGCTCGATCCGCTCTACACCACCACCGTTGACTCACTGACTGATGGCTTCGCGGAGGGGAGAGAGTGGTGGCACAGTGCACATCAGTCCTCGAACTAGTATCAAATGCATAGGAGATTCCTCAGTCGTGTGTTTGGTAGCCTGCGGCAATTTTCCCAGGTTTCTTTAGGGGCTCTGGGCCGTGGAGGTGCGCACGATCTCTGGTGTGAGTGACCTTGTTCTCGCTCCTGTTAAATCCAGCCTCTTGGTTGGGGTTACGTGGCGGTGGCGATGTACCTTAATAGAAATAATGTCTTTCACGTTTTATCTTTGTCCTGACGATGCGTTTAGCATTGTTGGAGGCAGTGCCGACGTTTGTCTCCGTCGAATCTCGCGAGATTCGGTCGGTGCTGGTCTTTGGTGGATCTGTTTGGATCATGTCTTCGTTTGAGTGTTTACAGGTTTAATTTTTTTGATCTACGACTTTCTTCATCGGCGATGGTTGCTACTCTGGTGTGCTGGTCCTAGGGGCCTTAGCACAACGACTTTCTGACTGTCTACCACAACAAAGTTTGCCCGACACGGGTAAGGGAGAGGCGATGACGACGGTGCCTTTCGGCTCGCTTCAGTGCTTGTAGTCGTCGTTATGGTTCACGGACATTGTTGTAATTTTTATTACCTATGTTGTTTTTTGTATTGTCATAATTGAAAATAAATAGATTGAAAGTTTCTCGAAAAAATAGTGGAAGAGAAGTAGAGATTGATCACCGGCGCTAATGGTTGTTCGCTCGGAGTTGAAGGAAGTGTGTTATCCGCGTCCTAGATCTTAGATCTACGAAGGAAAACTCCACGCACGTCCCCAAACGAATGTCCGTTTTATCCGAATTTCATCCGTTTGGAGATGGCAATAGAGAGGTGTCCATCCGGATTTATAGATGCGTCAGTCGTGCACCCAACACGCGGCCACATTTCAGTCACATCTTGTCCGGTTGCATGCAGTTTTTTCAAATCAACATAATGTCAGCGGCCATAGTTCACGCCGGTGGTCGAGGTTCATGTCGGCCGGCAACAAAGCCTAAGGCCAACAGAATGGTCATGATACGTCTCAAACATATCTATAATTTTGTATTGTTCCATGCTATAAAGTATCAATCTTGGATTTTTTTATATACATTTACTACCAACTTTATATCATTTTTTGAGACTAATCTAGTGCCTAGTGCCAGTTTTTTTTGCTTGTTTTTTACTTTGTAGAATATCAATACCAAACGAAGTCCAAATACCACGAAACTTTTTGGAGATTTTTTTCTGGCAATAAGAGACCCTGGAAGTTTCTCGAGCACATGAAAGGAGGCACATGGGGCCCACTAGGCACCAGGGCACGCCAGGGGCCTCCGACGCGCCCTGGTGGGTAGTGGAGCCCACGGTAACCGCCTTGACCTATCTTTGACTCTATAAATACTCTAAAATCCCAGAAACCCTAGAGGAGTCGGCGAAATACTTTTTTCGCCGCTGTAAGTTCCAGAGCCACGAGATCCAATCTAGAGGCCTTTTACGGCACTCTGCCGGAGGGGCAATGATCACGGAGTAGTTCTTCATCATTCTTGTTGCCCCTTCGATGATGCTTGAGTAGTTTACCACAGACCTATGGGTCTGTAGTTAGTAGCTAGATGACTTTCTCTCTTTTTGATCTTCAATACAATGTTCTCTTCGATGTTCTTGGAGATCTAGTTGATGCAACTCCTTTTTTGCAGTGTGTTTGTTGGAAACTGATGAGTTGTGGGTTTATGATCAAATCTATCCGTGAATATTATTTGAGTCTTCTCTGAACTCTTTTATGGATGATTGCTATAGCTTCGTATTTCTTCTTCGGTTTATTGGTTTGGTTTGGCCAACTAGATTGATTTATCTTGTCATGGAAAGAGGTGCTTTCTGATGGGTTCGATCTTACGGTGCTCAATCTCAGTGACAGAAAAAGATATGACACGCACGTATCGTTGCTATTAAGGGTAACAAGATGGGGCTTATTCATACATGATTTTATCTTGTCTACATCATGTCATCTTGCCTAATGCATTACGTCGTTTTTTCCATGAACTTAGTACACTATATGCATGCTAGATAGCGGTCGATGTGTGGAGTAATAGTAGTCGATGCAGAATAGTTTCGGTCTACTATTCTTGGACGTGATGCATGTATACATGATCATTGCTTTGGATATCGTCATAATTATTTGCTTTTCTATCAATTGTCCAACAGTAATTTGTTTACCCACCGTATGCTATTTTCTCGAGAGAGATCTCTAGTGAAAATTATAGCTCCGGGTCTATTTCCTATCATATATTAAAACCAAAAATACCTTGCTGCAATTTTTGTGTGTGTTTTAGTTAGATCTATTTATCAAATATCATACAATTTAATCTATCTCAATATCGTTGAGGGATTGACAACCCCTTTACGCGTTGGGTTGCAAGTATTTGTTGTTTGTGTGCAAGTGCTATTTACATAGTGTTGTTTAGTTCTGCTACTGGATTGATAACCTTTCTTTCATAACTGAGAAAAATATTTACCTTTGTTGTGCTGCATCATCCCCTCCTTTTCGGGGAAATACCAACGCAGATTACAAGCATCAAGTCACCAGCTAGTTTCATGCTGGCAACAAAGCTAGAGGCCGACACACTAGCCAGCCTTCAAAATGAACATGTTTTTTACGCCGGCAATAAAGCCAACAACCTACAGAATGGTCACCACCTAGTTTCACGATGGCAACAAAGCCAACGACCGGCACACTAGCCAGCCTTCAAAATGAACATGTTTTTTACGCCGTCAACAAAGTCAGCGGCCCGTACACTAGCCAGCCTTCGAAATGAACAAAGTTTTGGCGCCAGCAACAAAGCCAGTGGCCGGCAAACTAACCAGCCTTTAGAATGCACGACCATAGTCCATGGCCGAGGCCAGTCACCTAGTTCAGGTTGTCTTGGGCGAACCTCTCCTTCTGCTGGTTCATGAACCAAGCCTTCATCTCCGCTGACATGTTGGTCTTGTCGACGCTCATGATCACGAACGCCACCTCTTTTGCTTTGGTGTCGGCATTGGTGGCCTCGATTGCAAGCTTCTTTAGTTGAGCGGCCTCCTCAATGTCAAGCTTCCTCCTTCATGTCAAGCTTCTTCATTTGGATCAACTTAAGGTATATATTCATTTGCCCGTCCTTCCTGTTGCTCCTGCACTGGTACGCGTCGGTGCTATACAAATGATTTTTAACCCCTTTCCACGACGGCATTTGGAACCGTCGCCAAGTGGGTGTGGGCGGTAGGGGGGTCCTTCCCACACGACCCAGAAATCATCGGGGATAGGCCCTCCTGGCACACAGGCTGGGGCAAAATGAGCTAGTGTGCGATCAGGCGAGGCATCAAAACCCAATCGTTTCCGTTCATATGTACATCCCACACGGTGAATCCCAGAAAACATTTCCGTTTGTATGTATATCACACAGTCAACCCAATGAATACGTTTCCGTTCTTATGTACATCCCACACAGTCAATCCAGGGAAACATTTCCGTTCGTATGTAAATCCCACACAGTCAATCCAGGGAAAACGTTTCCATTCGTAGTACATCCCACATAGTCAATCCAGGAAAAACGTTTCCGTTCGTATGTACATCCCACATAGGTTTATGTATAGTCTCTTGTGTAATAGGTGTAACTATCACACATGCTCTGCCTTGGTTAACCGTTTGCTTTTATCAACTACATCACACACAATTTGATGAAGAAAACCGTGTGGCATTGTGCTATCCATCACAAGCGCTTTTACTGCTAGAACCGTCTGCAAAGTTCCATGACACATTTAGCAGGTTTATTAGTTTGCAATTAATAATTCTAGTATTATGCAAATTCACATTTCATATCGAACAACTGTTTGCCAATTTCATATCAGGCACATCTATAAATTTTAACATCACAGTATGATAGCTACCTGAAAACAGCACAGTACAACATATAACTAGTTCAACTTCATAAGAACAATATTAGAATAATATATTCATTTCCCTAATCAAGATCATCCAGGCTCGTCTTATCCACCTCTGCTTTCAGTTCAGTAAAAACCTGTTTTGCACTAGCCAACTGGGAAAGTGCTTCCTCCTTCGCCAACACCATCTTACCAAAGTCTGATTTTAAAAATCTGAGCTCATTCTCCACCTTCCTATTTTTATCCCACATCTTCAAATATTCTTCAGCGTTGACAACACTTTCTCTAAGCCTACCTCTGTTCTCTTCCTCATACATGCTCCAATGCTTTGCTAGGCACATCTTCAAAGACTATGACCACTCTTGATCAACCTGTTGGGGAACGTAGTAATCCAAAAAAAATCCTACGATCATGCAAGATCTATCTAGGAGATGCATAGCAATGAGAGGGGGAGAGTGTGTCCACGTAGCCTCGTAGACCAAAAGCGGAAGCATTAGTTAACGCGGTTGATGTAGTCGAACGTCTTCACGATTCAACCGATCCAAGTACCGAACGTACGGCACCTCCGAGTTCAGCACACGTTCATCTCGATGACATCCCTCGAACTCTTGATCCACACTAGTGCAGGATGCTGCTGACGTGACACTACGATCAGAGACCCTTCAAGAAACTGTGTGCGATGCAATAATCGCAAACGGTGGTGTCAGAGAACCGTTAAAAATGTCCAAAACGTTTGGGATGACGGATGCATCAAACGGTTCAGATTTTAGTTGTGTGTGCGGTGTAGGGCATACGGTTCAGTTCAATTAACTGTTTGCGATGAGGAGTAACAAACAAAACGGACAACCAGATGAAGGCGTGTGCGATACACAACATACGGTTCACTAGGATGAACTATTTGTGATTAGGCAACACAAAAGAAACGGTTAGCCAGAACCAGGTGTGTGCGATATACAGCATGCGGTTCACTCGAATGAACTGTTTGTGTTGAGACAAGCGAACATAAATGGTTCAATATAACAAGATGTGTGTGATA